ATGGAAGGTCTCAAATGTGTAAAAGCATTATATAAAAAGTAGCAGTTTTTCAAGCAATTTAGCTTACGGTGGGGGGATTTGTATGTTTATGCATTTATTCTTTTAATTATATAATAATAGAAATGGGTCTTGAAATGGATTCTTATAGTGGCGTGTATACTGCATCACAAGCGTCCGACTTGGTAAACTTGGACTCGCTAACCGATGTGTCCTAGACATATCATCTTAGTGTCGGTGGTAAGCGGGTTTGTTGTAGCAATACGGCTTTCCCGTGGACATCGCATACCCATAAAATTTGTGGCCGGCGTCGTAGCGCGTAGCGATACGTCGACTATTTTTCGGATTGGGATGAGTGTGTTTGGTAGCTCTTTTAAGTGTAAAAAGCACACTCACGTGGTTCAATAATATATATATATATATATATATATTGAACCACTACATTATTAGCTCCGAATAAACAATAATTGTGTATATACCCTAGAAACATTGCATTGCATGCCATCTTGATGCCAGCAGGTGATTCTTAGACAGGCCTTCGACTATACACCTAGTTACTTTTGGAATGATTTAAAGTGTTTCACTGATTTTATTTATTTATTTAATAAAAATGAAATGTCATTTAACTTCTACGTACTAGTATCATAGTCCAAGGAATTACTAAGCTAAAGTAGTAATGAAACGGATGGGAAAAATATTGTGTTTCTGTCCGTAATGTACCGGTAGGCGAAATGTAGGGTGGGTGATGCAGGAGGCTCTGGACCGTGCATTGGGCATTTGTAACGCTACCCCCTTCTTATTTATATTATTATACTATTTCCCCTTTATATAATATATTTATATATGTAACCAGAATAAATAAATATGTTTTGATATTTCTAAAGTTTTAGTAATAGGCCATTTGTAATATTTATGGCGTGATCGTCTTACTTAGGACCCTTATTGACGTTGTGTTTGTTTAGTAATTTAGTTCTTTCAAGGTGTCTTTTGGAAGAACAAATATTCACTAGAGAAAATGAAAGCCGTTGGTAGTGCATTATAAGCTAAGTGAACCCCGTTCATGAAGACTGGGCTCGAGAAAGGTTTAGAACATTAAAACGTTCCTATTCCACTTGTATCATGTTTTCATTATTAATTTATTTTTATTTATCCCTTCCCGCTTGGAAAAGGCTCACAATATATTTATACACAAAATACCCGATACAAGGGATTAAAAGGGGGGGGGGGAAGGGAAGGCTCGCCCACATTTTTTAAAAAATGTGGGGGCGGCACACGGCTCACCCACGCCGTGTGTTGTGACTGCCAATCCACTAACGCTCCTTCGAAGGGGACGTTAGGTTGGGTACTGGACCGTAGTCCACAGCAAAATTGCTGGCGAACCAGTAAAAGAGGGTTTGGCCCCTTGGTAGTGCGTAAGCACAAACATCGACCGAAGCAATGTGTGTAAACGCCATACAGAATACGAACAAATCCAGCCACAGTGAATGTACGTCACACGGTTTAGGCAAATAGGCACACTGGCCATAAATCCTCCGTGAGCGCCACCATCTGCCAGACTGCAGTTCCCGCAGACGTGATGTAAGTGTATGTCATCACCACCGATTGCATGTTCAGCACGGCTACTAGCCGCAGAGCGTGCATGAGTCTACCGCTCACCACAAGGGAATCGGTTCCGCGGTTTTTTTTGTTTTTTTTAAAGAATATTAACAATGCTATAAACATTACTAATATTCCCCTTAACCACTCGTGGTAAGCTTAAATTGCTTGTGTTACGAGTGGTTCACGCCAGTAGTTGAATGGCGGATTTGAACCCACGACCTTTTTGAGCTCGCGGTCCACGACCTGCCATTAGGCTACTGTCGCTTATACGTTACTTATACGTTGTGGTGCGGCTTTCGTTCGCAGCCTTGAGAGCCTTCTCAGATCTTCCCTCTAGTTACTACTGGCATGAGGTCGACACATACAACAGCAGATATAGCCAAAAGGCAGTTATAAGATAATAGTAATAATTTGCCATCAGAAAGGGTTTGTGTCACTGACGTTGAGTACATGCATTTTCGATCATGTTTGTCTCACCCACCAACAAGTTGCCTTCAATCATTCAAAGGTGGGAAAGTTCGAGACATATAATTATGTTGTTATATAAAACTTCATGGAGGTCGGACAGTCTGCAGGCTCGTAATGCAGGGACCCGAATTGAGCAAAGCTTCTTAGGTGTGAGTCAAACCAAGACGCAGAGAGCGCCATTGAGAATAGCGTCCCACCAAACAACCATCGCAGAGACGCAATGCTGCAGAACGCAACAAGCATCAATACGACTATCGTCGGCTTACACCATCCCAAGGTCCCCCATACATCCCAGCAGACATCGCCACCCGCATACATCCATTGACCAGAACCACAAGAATGTGTCGAATCAGGCGCAGCACACCCGCAGATCCATCACAAGACACAATACCGCAAGTAGCAGTAATCATCAATGCAACTATCATACGGATGGCGCTCCCATAACAGCACACCCACATGATTCCTATCGACTTTGGTAACAAAATTTGTATTGTTGTTAAGTAAAAACAACACCAACGTGATAGTAGCACGCTACTAAGACGCAAGTGGACCACAACATTCATCAACTCTACGTATCATAGCGCTAATGCACTAAGACATGAAGTTGAGTATGCTTTTTACACTTAAAAGAGCTACCAAACACACTCATCCCAATCCGAAAAATAGTCGACGTATCGCTACGCGCTACAATGCCGCCCACAAACGTTATGGGTATGCGATGTCCATAGGAAAGCCGTATTGCTACAACAAACCCGCTTACCACAGACACTAAGATGATATGTCTAGGACACTGTCTGTCATGATATGACTAGGTTCCATTACTACTTTAGCTTACTAATTCCTTGGACTATGATACTAGTACGTAGAAGATATATGACATTTCATTTTTATTAAATAAATAAATAAAATCAGTACACTTAAAATCATTCCAAAAGTAACTAGGTATATAGTCTAAGGCCTCTCTAAGAATCACCTGCTGGCATCAAGATGGCATGCAATGTGTCAATGTGTTTCGAGGGTATATACACAATAATTGTTTATTCGGAGGTAATAATGTAGTGGTTCAATAATACACACACACACATATATATATATATATATATATATATATATATATATATATATATATATATATAATTTTTGATTATATTGTAATCGTCAGTAGTATAGAATATGTTTTTACGTTAATAAATTTATATTAAATATAATTCATTGTTAATAGTACCGATATGCTTCATTTATCGTTGGAATTGGGTATTATTAGATGTATTAGTAAAAACAGAAGTGCCGTGTAGAGGAAGCGTACGAAAATGAAATGAAAAACGACACCCACGGGATATGTGGTAGAAGTACCACATATCCCGTGGGTGTCGTAAGAGGCGACAAAGAAGACCGAAACTGGAGAACAGTATCTTCCTGATAATAATTCAACAGGTATAAACCTGATAATAATAAATACTGCGGCTGCCAATCCGCCTGTTCACCTTGGCAACTATGCTAAGTCAATTTTTGAAGGCGAGAGCCATTAAGCAATCATCACTTATTACTTGAAACTGTAGTGAGCAGAAAGTAAAAAAAATATTTAAACACTTTTTTTTTTTTTTTTTTTGCGCCCGAAGCAATTAAAGGGCTACCCTATACGTAGGGAGGCGGAAAATGCATTACGCATACCACGATAGCCGGTCTATCGTGGTTATGGGGGACTCACTGTCCTACCGGGGACCCTAAGTGATACCCCCTAAAAACCGCCTTTGGGGACAGGCAGCCGGCTGATTAAGCTCTATTGCCTTATCATGAGCGACCCTCTTTGGGAAAAGAGGGCGCTAAGTGCCGCTGAGGGAGTGCCTACGAAGGCAAATTAATGTTAGTTATTACAATTTTATTTAATTAGAGTTGGCCTGAGCTGCCAGGAGACAGTTCAGGTCGTTTGAAAGTTTATTAGGCGGGTCCGAGAGAGAGTTTCTCGGCCTGCGGACACGATAGCGGGAAGGGGGGTGGGGCTGCATAAGAAGCTGCCTCACGAATTAAATGGTTTGGGTGCGACTCTGAGGCTTTGAAGAAGTTCTCAGAGAGTTTTTAAAAAATTGTTGAATTGTTGGGAGCTCTAAGTCCCGATGAAGGTCGGCATTACGGACGTACCAAGGTGCGTTCGCAGCTCGACGACAGAAGAGGTTCTGAACTATTTGGAGTTCATTTAAAATATTTGGGTTTGCGTGGGCAAAAACTGGGCCCGCGTAGGACATGACGGGTCGTATACAGACCTTGTAAAGGGTACGCTTGTTTCGAAGGGACATTTTACTGTGTCGGCCCAACATACTGTTGAGCCTACTCAGATAAAATCGTGCGTGACGGGTTACTCTTTTGACGTGGGGCTTGAAAGTAAGCCCTGTGTCTAGAGTGACACCTAAATATTTGGCGGACGTATGCCAGGGGACAGGGGTCCCTAGCATACGTATTGAAATATTTAAACACTTACAGTTTTACTACAAAAAGCATTTAAACACTGGTCCAACATGTGTTTAGTTAGAAACGGACTTAAATGATAAACACATGTTAAACAATGGTTTAAATTTCGCTACCACTAAACCGTGTTTAACGCGTGCTTTGTCTCATTATATATATATATATATATATATATATATATATATATATATATATATATGTGTGTGTGTGTGTGTGTGTGTGTTTTGTGTGTGTGTATCTATATTCTTTGTTAAATTTTTCATGAAATATTTTATTTACATTTAACAAAAACATGTCAGTTATGCTTGGAAATTAGATGAAGATAAATGTGAAATTATGTCAAAGCAACGTATTTGTATAGATGTCAATGCTCAACGTCAGTCAAGCGTCCGCGACCGTTGCCTGCATCGAGTTGTTTGTGAATTGTTTCGCTGTAGGTATTTAATTTGTGTTCACTTTTGTCCTATTAAATAATGGAGTCGAAAGGAAATATTGAGAATCAAAAGAATCGTGTTCGAGGCGAAAATTGGACCCAAGAGGAAAAGGTTAGTTACGCTTATGTACTATTCGTTTTAGGAAATTGGTCTAGTTTTTTAAGCCGCATGAGCTAATTATTAAGAATATATAATAACAACACTACTTGCTTTGTTCTTTACGTTTTTAATTACCTAAATATTTACTACTTTCAGGATCTGTTTTTGGAAATAATGAGGGAGTCAGCGCCTGTTATAGAGAGTAAATTTACCGATACTAATACAAATAAAAGAAAGAATCTGGAGTGGATTAGAGTACAAAAGAGATAATTGTATGGTCAGACTGATTTGTTTAGTTAGGATAGATGTTGATCAAATAGATGATAAGACTATATTTTTCTGTTACACCAAAATATTTTTTTAAGAAGGTTAAATTAATAATAAAATTGGTATTCTTTTTTATTGCAGTCTTAAGGAACTCACTGGGAAATCCAGAGAGATCACGCAGTTAAAGGGTTTCTGGAGACGAACAAAAGTGGCTGCAAATAAATCTGTGTCACAACGTAGAAGAGCTTTGCAAGCTACTGGTGGTGGACAAAGGCCAACATCTCCAGGTGATGATCACCTAAAGACAATGGAACTCTGCCCAACAGATTTTGTTATAGAAGAAAATCTTTATGACAGCGATGCGGTCCCACAACTACAAGTAAGTTTTTGAATTGTATGTACCAAATATAATGATGCAACTTTGCTTTATTAACTTTTATTAATTTATAGTGTGAAGTTGTAGTTATTGGAGGAACTGAAGAGCAAAACAACACATTATATGATATAGACGAGGCATGTATGAATATTATTAGTTTTATTAAATAAGTTATTACTCATTTTTTAAATAAATAAATAAATCTTTTCTTTCCAAAGGATGAAATCCTACCAGCAGAGGAACCCAGAGGAACCAGCTGTACAGCAAATGATTACAGTGGTAAATGTGCATAGCGAAGAGGTGAGTTTACCTGAAAAAAATGTAGTGCTTCATACTGTTATTTTTTTATATGATAGGGTGACAAACGAGCACACAGTCCAACTGATGGTAAGCGGTTAATGTGGCCCATAGCCATCTACATCTATCCTTGTATGCGATTCATCAAATGCAGATGCGTTGTCACCCGTGAAGACTAAGATGGAACGCCTCTTTTCTAGCAAAAAGGGTCTCCGGTTCTCTACACTCACCATACGAAACACAGCAGCATTAAGCTACTATTTCACGCTGGTATTCTGTGAGAGTGTGGTCCTTCCCCGGTCGAGCCGACCCATTCGTTGCTACGACTATACTACTAATATAACTGCAGCATGGCTCTACCACGTAGATCAAATATAGTTATAATTTTTTATGTTATTATTTATAATTATAAATAAAACTTAATGAAAATCATTATTCACTGAGATTGATATCAAGATCCCTGAATGCAGCAGAAAAAGACAAATGGTGTTTCCTCCAAAGGTGGATAGAAAACAAAATAGAGAAAATAAAACAAACAAGTTGTAAGTAGATTAATTGTATATAATTTTTATGATCTACTTTACTATATTTTCATATTTTGTACATGTACATGTGACACTGCCCTGTTGTATCTATGAACAACCATTATTAGGAGAATTATGAGGAAAAAGGCATGATTGTATGTATATAATAATATGTAATAAAAATAAATAAATGTATAAATCATTTATTTTCTCATAAATACCATACATTACACAAAGAGCATTAAAATGGTACTATCTACTTAGTAAATAGGTGCCTAACATTTGGTTGAGCCTAGCGGTTTTTAATTAAATAAGTAAATCATGTCTGTTACAGGGCTGGCAAGGAAGCTTTATTAAGAACCAATATAGATTTTCAGGAACGGGCTTCAGCAATGTTGGAATAAGAACATAAATTAAAAATAAAATTTCAAGAACAAGAAATAGCTCATCAGCAGTTGCAGCATAAACTGGAAATTGACATATTATTATTAGAAAAAGACAAAAAGAAATTGGAATTAGAATTGTTAAAAAAAAACTAGAATATAAGGACTAATTTTACATTTTTTAAAATTTTGTTTCTTATATTAAAAATTTTGGTTGATAAAACGCTGTCTAATAATTGCTCCTCTAACTGTAGATCTCTGTCTGTGGCCCGCGCCGCTGACGAACGTACCGAACTATATCAATCTCTTCATTCATATCAATCGCTATGTTATGTAGCAGTGCTAATGCTACAATTGTGGTTTTCGCTGTGCTTAGTTTCATAAACATACCTCTTAATAGGCATCTGAATCTTTGTTTCCACAAGCCAAAACAGCTCTCCACTGTATTCCTTGTTCTAATGTGAGCTCTGTTGTAAGCTTCCTATTTGTCATTACTAGGATTAAGCAAAGGTGTAAAGAGATATGCAGTACATGCATATCCACTGTCTCCAAGTAATCTTACATGAAAATCGCCACGTTCGAAGCGTTCTTTTATTGTGCTTTCGTTTAAAACTCGAGAGTCGTGAGTACTTCCTCTCCAACGTGCAACTATGTCTCTGATTTTCAAGTTTGAATCACAGACAACTTGCACGTTGATAGAATAGTAACCCTTTCTGTTCACATAGGCTTCACTCATATCGCCACCTACCCTTTTGACTCGTGCAGTCTATAGCCCCTATCACCGAGGGGAAATTACATATACTTCTAAATCCTGTGATGGTTTTCTGTTGATCTTCTAGTGTAGTGGGCATGTTGATAAATAAATGAGCTTTTTAGCTAATGCTCCCCCAACATTATGAGCGATTTTGCTCACTGATTGCTGAGAAATCCCGTGCATATCTCCACTGTCATCTTGAATCTGAAATAAAATTGCAAATAATAGGTAAACATACAGGATGATGGGTGAAGCTATTCTTCTCTACCGTCGCCACACGTAAGCATAGTTTAATTTTGTATGAATCGAACTTACTTAATGACGAGCCCAGTACCGAGTGCACAAGCCACTTGCACTGCTGGATCTATAGTGTTACCACGAGAATCACTCGGGATATCGTCTTTCACAAGATCTAATATTTTTCTAGCAAAAAGTTTGCTGAACCTATATTTTTTCTTAAACTTGGTGTCGTCATATTTTACAAACGGATTAACCCTCACACGAACCGTATTACTTTCTCGGAACATTTCCGCATAGTTATCCATGTCGTCTTCATCGAAGTAATCAACAAAATCAATTATATCCACGTTAAATAAAAATACTGAACTGATGGAAAGATAGGTTAGACACTAGTTAAACAAGGGTTTTCGGCTGTTTAAATTTAAACAACGTCTAAGCCTTGCCTGTCCATAAACCACCGTTAAACACTCTTTTGTAGTAATTCATTTGATAAACAGGTGTTGTGTGTCACATGTCTAACTTTTTTGTAGTAAGACAGTTAGCTGTCATATCTTTTTTTAATGCCAAACTAAATTTTACGTCACTCCTTTATCATTTCTGTCAATTGTCAAGACGTCAAGGACAAATATTATGAAATAATCATTTTAAAATGTTCGCCGCCGCTTTATTACCATTTGTTATTAGACATTAAATCCTCATTTTATGTGGAATAATGGTGACAAGCGAGCACATAGTCCACCTGATGGTAAGTGTATACTCTGGCCAATAGACATCTACACTTATCCTTGACTGAGAATTAAAATGCAATTGCGTTGTCACCTATGACGATTAATATGAATTCGTCACCAGTAAAAAAGGTTTCTGGATCCTGTTTTTAAGCTGGTATTGTATTAAAGTCTCCAGTCGAGCCGATCCATTCGTGTTTTTTTTCACGTCCTGCACTTCAAAACAGCATTCAATTTAAAAAAAATTGAAATTAACAATTTCATGGGCGTCGGCGTCAACGAACTCTGCTCACGAACAATGAAATTTTAATGCTAATGCTAGACTCCTGAGGTACTCCTTATTTGGTAAATAATAATAGAGTTATGCCGTTTTATAACGTGGAAAAGTTCTTCTATTCTCTCCGCTGTAATGGAGAGATTTTTCCGGACTCCTACCTGATTAATCCCAAAGTTGGTCACTCTAAGTACAGATAAAGGGTCCCGAGACGTTCATTTGGAATGCTTGTCTATAGATTTATAGAAAACGTCATATGATTAGACTTGCAGTGCAATCACGATGAAACCGCTTCTAATCTTCGTAGGTTTCGCTTTATTAGCCCCAATCCGAATAACCTTGACGCCAAGGTGTGATTCCACTAATATCGATTTTTAAACGTAGTCAAGTTTGTTAAAAAACAAGACAGCCATTTTCGAACACGTTACATTGCACGCGCCGTTGCGTAGTTGTAAATTACTTTGTAAAATATTTCCACGACATGCGACAATAAACAATCTTTTTCGATGTTGGTATCGTACAAAGTATTTTTTTGTCTATTTTATTGTAATTTGTTTTTCATTAATAGTGAACGAAAATATTATTTATTTGCGATCACGGATCAATAAGTTTAATAACGTTTCTTTAAATCAAATAAACAATGATTTATTTTTCTCTCTCGTTCTGTTCTTTTTCGTAAGCCGGCTTAAACTTAAAAAATGGCTGTCTACTTAAAACATAATTTTCCTTCAAATTAATTCCGATATGAACGTAGAACTCTTGTGTAAGAGAGTAACATGTTTTATGATCAAGTGATTCAGAATACCAGCGTAAAATACTATATTTCATTTCGTTTCGAGACTCAAAAGCGGTAGCCCAGATACTACGCCATATGCATCGGTTGTAGCACGAGATGCATTCGCTTAATTAATGCAGACTTCCCCTTAAATTACAATATTTCAGCGTAGCGTGTATCATGTCGGACTAAGTATCTGTGTCAGTTGCGTGTTCTTTCTTATTATTTTATTTTTATTACTTATATTGATATTTTATTATACAAATGTTTATTGACTACTATTTTATTACTTAAAATATTCTTTCATACTTTTAATTTTTCAAAGTAAATATTTATGTTAATTTTGGCTTTTTGGTATTAGCAAGTAATTAATAACGATAACTATTAACGATAACCGATGGGGAAGAAAGGTTCTCGAGTGGCAGCCTCGTACCGGTAGGCGTAGTGTAAGGCGACCCCCCACTAGATGGATGTCTTACCAGGTGACGACCTGGTAAGACATGCAGGAAGTCGATGGATGCAGGTGGCTCAGAACCGTGCTTTGTGGCATTACTTGGGGGAGGCCTATGTTCAGCAGTGGACTTGTGAAGGGCTGTAATGATGATGATGATGAAGTAATTAATATAAGGTATGATAGGACTGATAATATGTAGTTTTGTCAAAAATCCCTAGAATAATAAAAAGAAAAAATAAATGACATAAATATGTGTACTTGCCTTTGTTTCTTCAAAATCCTAGAGCAGTGAGACGGCGAATAGCTTCAACTACTACCGCGATTGTAAATCCGGTTGTCAAGTGTGACGATTAAGGAAAATCTTTCCTACAATGAGAGAGACCCTTATGCTCGGCCATTGAATATTAAGAGAAAAAAGGATGAGGTATTTTACGTCTGTCATAAACGAGATCTATGAGTCCCCCTATCCATTGTGAGAACTTATAGCAGCCACGGTGCGAAGTAGAATGATGCATTCTCTTGCGCCGTCATTACAAAATATAAGGTAGAAATATTAATTTAGTTACGTTATCTTTACACTCAGGTGTTCTCCTGTATCATAAAGGCGTACATACATAAATTGTGCTTTCGAACATTTCCAGAACAAAAACTATAACTTCTAGATGAGCTAAATTTGGCAACTGCGATGACTGTGCTATAATATTATGATCATGAAACTAACCTCATTATGTACCCTACAACAAGCAACGTCTATAAAAGCTTGTCAAGTTTTAATTTTAGTTTGTAGCCATTAAATGCTATTGACTTCATACAGAACAATTATATGATGTAAAGTTTTTTTTTTTGAAAAGAGGGGGCAAACGAGCA